TTGGAGCAGAAATAGCTGTATTTATAGTCACACCACATATTTATTGTGTGTGTATGTGAGTGTATGTACATGTGTGTGTGTGTGTAGGTCACAGGACAGCTTTCTGCAATTGGGTCTCTCCTACCGTGTCTGAGGCAGGCTCTCTCTTGCTCTGCTATGCACTCCATGGTAGCTGCCCAGCAAACTTCTAGACAGTTCTATCTCTGCCTCCTAATTTGGCTTAGGGGTGCTGGGATTACAGATATGCTCCACTGAGTCTGGCTTTGGATGAGGCTCCAGGGACTAAACTCAGGGTGCTGGGCTTGCAAGGCTACCTTACCCACTGGGTCTGTCCTCCGCCCACCACCCCTGGTCACGGTTTTGTTACTGCTGTTTGTTGGTGTTCTGAGGCACAGTCTTTCTATACAGCTGAGGCCTCAAATTTAACAATCTTTAAGCTTCCGCCTACCAAGGGCTGATGTTACCACAGCTGGTTAGATATTTATTTTTAAAGGTAGTCTGATAAACATTTCCGTATCTTTGGAACTTTTAAAAGTGCCAGAGAGTAAGAAATGAACATCAGAAAAATTACAAACACATTTAACTAGGTCTTTAAAGAAAACAAAACCTCTGTGTCAACATAATATTTCTAGTTCCCCAGTAGAGGGCAACTTCTACACACTTTGACAGTTAAAAACAAAACAAAACAAAACAAAACAAACAAAAAAAACAAAGACCCTGCCAACAACTCCAAGTCCATGCACATCAAATCAGTAAGAATCAGGAGACATTTAAGTAAAACAAACCAGTTCGTGCTTACAAACTAATTCATTCTACTAGCAGGCAGCCATAGAATATCACAGGACTTCACTAATTAGGAACGGAATATATCTAATGAACAATTAGCAGGATGGTCAACATAAGCAGAACTGTAAGACTGTTAACCAGAGCAACTAGCCATCTGTTCTCATGACAGCAATCAGTGACTGAACACTGTTCTAAGTACCTATTTTGATCGAATTTTAGTGTGCTTAATTTATAAAGGAAGCTCAGGTAAATATGTGTATTTTCAATAAGAATAACAAAAAAGAAAACCAAAACACTGAGCATGCTCCAACATTTGAAAGGTATGACTGTTTTTGATATTATGAAATCTGAATTAATTCTTATAGTGCTCACATATTAATGACAGCATGCTAAGGAAATAATTGCATCTACAGTTACGCGGGCAACCTGAGAAAAATCCCACTATACACGCACTATGTTGTGCTCTATCCAGCAGTGGGACACAATGTCACATGTTCTCATTCATTCCTTCATCCAACACTTTGCCTTTTTTTTTTAAGTGTATGTGTATGTGGCATGTGTTCACATGCATGTGGATACGCATGTATGTTCACACATGTGTGGGTACATGTGTATGGATGTACAAAGGCTGGGAGTTAATACTGGGTGTCTTATTCAATTGCTTTCCAACTTACTGACTGGAGCAGGCCTGGGGCTGACCAAAGCTCACAGATTTTGGCTCCTCCAGCTAGCCAGCATGTCCCAGAATCCCCTTCTCCATCTCCCAAGTGCTGGGATTACAGGCATCCACCATGCCTGCCTAGCTCCTTTTGTGAGTTCTAGGGATGTGTACTCTGACCTTGACACTTGCAGGGCAAGCCCTCCTACCCACTGAGGCGCCTGCACCCAGCCTTCGTTCAACGTGCTCTTACTGGGTGCTGAGTGTGGTAGGCACTGTTCCAGAAGTTAGGAACACAGACAGACAGAGCTCTCTGAATTCTCAGAGTTTACATACTATGTAGTAACACACACACACACACACACACACACACACACACACACACACACACAACACATAATAAAGTCTTCTTAAAAGATAAGCTTACAAGGTAGATGGTTGGTTACCCTATCTCCTAAACTAGTGTTTTCAATATGGATGACAACTGTAAGGAAAACTGAAATGCTTCGTTATTTAATACTCACTGCCCTTGCACAAAATAACACAGGATCTCAGCAGGAAAAGTGTTGTGGAATATTATGTTAAGGTGCGTTACTTCTGTTTATGTTGCGTTTGTCTAACTCTGTGAGACTCTGTTACTTTGCCTTCTAAAACACCTGATGGTCTAATAAAGAGCTGAAACGGCCAATAGTGAGGCAGGAGGGAGAAATAGGTGGGGCCAGGAGGCAGAGAGAATAAATAGACAGAGAAATATGGGAGGAAGAAGAGAAGTAGCTAGAGAAAAAGGAGGACCCAGGGGCCAGCCACCCAACTACATAGCAAGTGGAAGTAAGAGTAAGATGTATCGAAGTAAGAGAACAGGAAAAGGTAGACAGGTAGACAGGTAATTTAAAAAAGGTAGACGGGGCTAATTTAAAATTAAGGAAAGCTGGCAAGAAACAAGCCAAGCTAAAGCCAGGTATTCATAATTAATAATAAGCCTCAGTGTGAGATTTATTTGGGAGCTGGGTGGCAGCCCCCACAAGAGTAAGAAAACAAACAACAGAAAAGCATAGTTGTACAGAAAGTCCAAAGGATGAAAAGTAGGATTTCCTAGTACCCCCCTAAACTGAGAGACATCCACTGTTTCTAATGATCCCTTCCAGAAAGGGACAGCACGTCAGTATCCGCCATCCTCGACCCAGGACCATAGCTTTCTAAGGCCGTCATATCACTCACTGCACTAGGCACACAGGTTTGCCTTTCCTTGCTCAACTGAATTCCTAGTGCTCTTCCCTAAAAGAGATTATAAGTACGTTACATTCTTTAATTTGACTTGTTTTATTGTTTTTTAAACACAAGTTATTTTATCCATCTCTGACTCCTCTCAATTATAACAACAACAAAAAAAAAGTGGTTAGACAATTTTGCCTGAAATTGATAAGTTCTATGGTATATAGTGCTGGTTGGTTTGATATTTGAAGATGATTCGTGAACTTCAGAAGCAGCCTGGGAATATGACCTTTAATAGATTACAGAGTAACAAACAGTAAAAGGAAGAAGCATTTGCACAGGACAGAGAAGTCACAAGTAACTTCATCAGTTCACACACAATGCAACAATCTCCTCACAAGAGTTTCCTGTGGAAACACTAACTGGAATACTAGCCATGTTTTAAGTTAGGAAACTTTTATAACAGATTGATTGCACAGCCATCATTTACATTTCACTTCAAATTTTCAACTGCACAAGTAAGACCCTGCATCACTGCGTCTGTAATACTGCTTAAACCATGCGCTTGCTCTCGTGCCACATTTGATTTAAAAGTCACCGGACTTTCAAAAGCTATAAAAAATATTATGCAAAGGAAAACCCATGGCACTAGGTGGCGCTGTGGGACCTTGCAGGGCAAAGCAACACCAGAAAATTCTGTGCTAGACAAATTGTTACTGGTGATTATGTGCAATTACATGCACATTAAATATTTTGTGTGTGTAGTCCAATGCCACTCTCATAATAAGAACAGCTCAGTGTTGAAGCAAGCTCAACAGAAGTCTTTCAGGAAGACACAGCCTCATTTCAAATCCCTTGTCCTAATTCCTGTGTCCTTAAAAGTTTTTTCATATAATGAATGCACTTTTGAAGTATGTTTCTTAACTATTGTTTTATTTATACTAAAGATACTTCTCATTTAAGACTAAAACATTTGCATTTAAGACTAAAGCAAGCCAATAATTAGGCATTTTTGTCAAAGAATTTTCTACAAGGTAGTTTCTTCCGTCACAATGCACATTGTAATCATGGGCTGTATCCTCTGCTCTCCCAGAAGTGATTGCTTGTTGCTGAGCTGCGAGTTCGGATGCAGCTGCCAGTTCCTCAAGGTAAACACAGGAATAAGGCAGCGGGTAAGAAGAAGTTCAGATAACACACACTCATATCCCACACTTCTATGCGAGCTGAAGAAAGCACCATCTGCCGTCTTCATGTGGTCTGTGGGTGACTCATCGATGCCTGCTTACTGAGTCCAACATGCCCCTCCCTATCCACTGACCTACGAGTGACCAACCTGACACATAACTTAGGTCAAATGAAGGACAGCCACTGAGCTGCCATCTTTCAACAGTGTTTTATTGTGTATGTCTGTCCCTCCGTAAAGAACAAGCGCTACTAGTGAGGTGGGAGGTAAAACATGGTTCAGAAGCATGAACTCTCTAAGATGAGCGATGGCTCAGAAATCCCCAAAACTAAAGTACTTAATTGAGCAGATAGGAATGTATGGCTAGTGTGGAATTTAAAACCTCATTAACAGTAAGGGCGGAGCTCATTATTAGAGATACATGGTATGATTAAAAGCAATGAAAGTGAATTTTTAATAAAAGAAACAAAATCCATCTTCAGGAATGCTGTTTTTCAAGTCTGTCAAGGAACCAGACCAGGCTCCGCGGAAAGCCAAGCACCACCGAGGACAGTCCGCTGCCTTCACAGAGCCCTCCTGTGACACCTACGACAATAACTTAAAGTCGTGTCATTCCTGAACTTTCAGAGTACACAGGGGGACAACCCTCACTTTAGCTACACCTCACAAGTCAGCTCTGGAAAGATAAACAATTGGGTGGGCAGGGGAGGCTGTGTCACGGGAAGCTGAGAGCAGCAAGCCACACCAGGATTCAGTGCACCTTGAAGGGGACCAGCCTTACCCGTGCAACCTGAGGCAAAAAGACAAAGGAATTTCAAATGCTGTATTGTCTAAACACAGGTGTCTATAAACACTAAGAACCACGAGGAATTTTTAGAGCATTTAACAGATTCAGGTGTAAATGGAGTGAAAAGCGGAAATAGGTTAGGGCCCTATGGTCTGCTCTCTCACCTCGCTTCCTCCACAGTCTTCTGCCTTCTCTTTTAGAGTAGAGTCTTTGGGCTTAAACAGTACTTCACCTGAAACAATTCTCAGAGTGGTCTGGGGACCCAGGGCTCTACAGACCGCTGAAGGTCAGAGGGATTAAACACTACCTTTAAGATAACAGTAGCAATTACTTTATTTACATTTTCCCTTTCACTGTCTCATATTGGCACACAGAGTTCTCCAGAAGCTACGAGATGTGATATTGCAGCAGATTTACTACAGCAAGGGAGCAGACTCCAGCTGTGTGAGGCCAAGCCCACGAGGAAGCAGATTTGCCAAATGCAGAATGATGGCGCTCTCCTTACCAGGTTTTGGTTTTGTTTGGAGACCTTAGTTATTTATCATGAAGTTTGACATTATTTTTAAATTAATGCTTTCCAAGTTTTCATTTCATATAATAAGTACAGCTAGGCAAACCCATATAAACAAAGCTTTCTCTGGTCCTCAGTTAATGTTATGAATGTAAAGGGGTCCCAAAAGTTTGAGGCACGCACTGTTTACGGGGAAGTTGGCTCACATCTTGGTATGCTTTCCTCTAAGTGCTGGTGTGAACCTTCTTTCCGAATGAGATACGGTTAGGGGCTCGGAGAAAGGGGCCCCAGCAGTGACACAGGCCACGCGCTCTGGGTTTGTTGCAGACATAGGTGGGGTGATCCGGGCAGAAGACGGACCAGAAGGATCTAGAGTGGGTGATGGCGCATGTTGACACTGAGCTGAGCTGGGGTTCAGCCATATCTCAAAACAGACCATTTCCCTCCACCTTCTCTTGATGCTTAAACCCCGGAGGCTCCAACCAGCCTCCACATTGGAATTCCATCTCCCACCGGTTCACACCTTGTCATTAAAGAGTGCCACCACATCTGCAGGACCTGCTCCCACCTGCCCATCCATGTCTACCTCTCTCATTCTCTGTGTCTCTCTCCACATACGCTCTGGGTCCACCATCCATTTTTCTGACTGAGCTGCCTCCCGCCCAGCTGCTTCCTGCGGTCAGTGAGGAAGCCTCCCTGCCGCCATCCAGCCCTGCTGAATACGCAGGCCAGATGGGTCTTCTTAGAAGCATGCAGCATAGTTACAACCTTCCATTTATTTATGCACCTATCACATGTGCTGGGGATGCCACCCAGGGATAAAGTGTTTCCCTACATACAAGGCCCTGGGTTTGAGCTCCTGCACTACAGAGCAACAAAACCAACACAGACAGAGTCAGGTCATTTCTGTCTGGGCTGTATGAGGGACAAGCTTATTTTGCTCCATCTTATATTCATTCTTAGAAATATGCCTGAAGCAGAACATATCTCAATCAAGGGTTATTTTCTGTGCATCCTTTTTTGTGCGTGCCTGAGTGCATGTCTGTGTGTGTGTGTGTGTGTGTGTGTGTGTGTGTGTCTGTCTGTCTCTCTCTATTTGTGTGTACTGAGGTCAGAGGTCAATGTTGGATAACTCTACCTTACTTTTTCCTTTTTTTTACATTTTAAAAAATTTTATGTGTATGAGTGTTCCCCTGCATGTATGTTCACTGTGCCCACAGGCCAGAAGAGGGCATTAGGTCTCCTGGGACTGGAGGCAACAGACAGTTGTGAATCACCATGTAGGTGCTGGAAATCAAACCCAGGGCCTCTCCAAGATCAAGTGCTCCTAACCTCTCAGCCCCACCTTATTTTCAAACAGGGACTCTTACCAATTCAGCAAGACCCAGGCCAACGAGCTCTAGGGACCATGTTGTATCTGCAGCTCCCAGCACTGGGATTACAGATGCAAGGCACCATGTGAATGCCGAGTCTGAACACAGGCCTTCATGCTAACACTCGACAACTGGCCATCTGATCCCAGCCTCCTCAGTCAAGTTTCTCCCCACAGGCAGTGTCTGCTAAACATACCTGCGAGTCACTACACATTCTGCAAGTGCAATCCATGCTGAACCAAGCCGCAGTGCAGTTAGTGTCCCCACAAACAGATGAGAAAAGCCACTGCACAGATGGTAGTTACCGTGCTCAAGGACGCACAGTGACTTCTGAAGTCAGGATTGAATCTCAAGCCTGCAATTCTCTATGGCTCATTCTCTTAGGGTTTATAATCAATATGGACTTAGCCTCCATTGATATGGCTGGAATTCAAAATTATTGTTCCTAGAAATTAATGACTAATTTACAAATGCTAAGAGCAACATGCAAACTGAAGGCTTAATAAACATGCTGTTTTTTTTTTTTTTTTAGATTTATTTATTTATTATGTATACAGAAGAGGGTGCCAGATCTCATTACAGATGGTTGTCAGCCACCACATGGTTGCTGGGAATTGAACTCAGGACATCTGGAAGAGCAGTCGGTACTGTTAACCTCTGAGCCATCTCTCCAGCCCCAAACATGCTGTTTTTATGCTTCAACAGTAGAATGTGTTCTGAAGTTAAACAGTATTTTACAATCATTTAAAACCAGTCATGTTATGTGCAGGCTCTGTCCGCTGTGCGTTCTGCTCTCTAAAAGGAAAGGGCAGTTCAAGACACAAGGCCAAAGCTAAGACGACAGCTTTTCCCGGCCGTATCAAATCCTCATCCAGATAAACACTGAGTACAAGCTGGTAAAGACTTACAGATAGTCTGTGTTCTGTGATGTAAGGAATTAAAACAAAACAAGGCAGGAAGGTTACAATCTCAGCATTAAATGCTAAGGGACCCCTTCGGATCTGAACTACAATTTTCAGCTATGCTTTTCTTGCTATGAGGTCAATGATGACCTTGAACTTACAGTCTTCTTGTCTACCCCTCCTCCCAAATGCTGGGATCACATGAGTGTGCCACCACACCAGGCTTCTGTGGTGCTGAGCTCTTACTCAGAGCCTCATGCAGACCAGACAGGTGCTCTACTAATATCCAGAATGTAGATTGCACAATAAAGTCAAAGTCTAGGACAGCTAAAAATCCTAACAATTTATAAAAAAAATCCATTATTTTTATGTTTAAAATTTAATCTTATATTGGTAAGATTTTTGTAGTTTTATTCAATTATAATTATGGGATACTGACGCTATGGTGAGCACATGATGAAGGGTTGGGGAATTCATGGCAAAGGGTGTTTAGTTTTTATCCTGAGCCAACTTTAACAAGCCACAGTACAAAAAAGTGGGAGGCTGGATGCTGGGGACCATGGGGGATGGAGATGGGCAGAGGATTCTGAAACTGAGACTGCAGTGAGTCTGGATGGCCAAGGAAGGCAGGGGCTGGGGTGCCAGGAAATGACCTGGGGTGGGGAGGGGAGAGACGAGGGTGAGGACAGCAGGACAGCAGGGACAAAAGCCTACAGACTGGAGAGTGCTCATGACAGGGCACAGTGAGCAGGGACACAAGACAAAGGGCGTAAATCTCATGCAAAGCACTCAGGAAAAGATAACCAGTCCTACTCAGGAGCCTCGCAACTTCTGTAAATCAAATTAAAGGGGAGATTAGGGGACGCTTCAAAGGGCACTGTCTGGAATATAACGATCTCTGGCATAAAGTGTGTGTGTGTGTGTGTGTGTGTGTGTGTGTGTGTGTGTGTGTGCGCATGTGTGAGCATGTGTGCATGTGGGTGCTGTGTGTGTGTGCGTGTGTGCATGTGGGTGCTACTACTAAAATGTCAGTGAACCCAAAAGCTGAAGGAGCATAAGACAGGATAATAAAGTTAGCATGGTAAGCCTGACCAGATCTTCCAGTGCTGGTGTATGCTTTGTTCTCTGAAGAATATTTATAACTACAGTAAACTTACTCCTCCTGGAATTTTTGTTAGCAAGGGGTTATTTCTATTCAGAAATAGAAAATTCAAAGACCTAGTGCCCGCCCCCCTCCCCCGTATGGTAATCTACACTGCTATGTGCCGGTGCTGTCTGCGGGGCCCCAGGTCATCAATTATGTATAGAAATGTACAGTTACAGCAGTAGCCAGTGTCATGGGCCTGTCAGGGCTTTCTTAAGAGGAACAAAACCATCTGATTGTGTCCACTCTTAGACAATCCAGCACAAATGAGAATGAAGAAGATCCATGGGAAAACATAGGTAATTTTCAATATATAGATTGACTTTTTGTAAGGAATGAATTTAAAAGCATACTTGAAGCCAGAAACATAATGAGGGGTAAAAGCCTTGGAAAAAGACACAAGGAAAGGTCCACAGTAGCTCATCAAAGCCACATACTTTAGAATACAAATTCATTTTTCATATATTTGAGGGAAATAACAAATAGGGGTCACCAGGCTCCAACCTCTCTGAACCAAATCCAATGAGTTCTGCATTTACAACAAGGGTAGTCATGTTATTTCAAATAAAATGCCTTGCGATCACAAGCTGATGGCTACGGAGGTGTGTATTTCATTCCAAATGAATGAAGTATGTTTACAAACTGACCTGGGAACAGGTCCATGAAGATGAACGTGAGTAAAATGCAATCTCAGCTATCTTATGGAATTCAGCCATTATGTCAAACACAGGGGGAGCCTTCACTGGGATCTCAATACATTTATTTCTATACATGGCTGCAAAAATTTAGTTACTCTCTTTTCCTCTTGTGGGTAGCCACGGCAGCAGCTGGAGCACTGTGTATTTAAATGCAGAAAGTAACTCTGGCTCCCTCTCACCACCTACATAAATGCTTGAGAAATTTGGAAAAATGATTTTCTTGGAGTGAAATGAGTTTACTTACTTTCCAGCAAGGTATTTGACAGGTTTTTAAACACATATGAGTCATGTTTTCAAGAAACAGACAGAAAACTAAAGTGTATAAAAATACCATTTAAATTTCCTGGAGCCTCACATTTTAAATGTACATCCTCAGTCTTCATCATTTTCTGGGTAGAAGTTTTAATACCTAATTTTTATATGATGATTTGGCTACCATTTAAATATTGAGAGGTAGGGTAGTGATGTCATCACATTACTTTAGGGACCATCATGACACAGGCTAGACCGCAGGCTACCCCACTCGGTCACACCCTGCCGTCACAACACAGGCTAGACCGCAGGCCACCCCATTCGGTCACACTGTAAAGCCGAAAGCATTGTTTAAAACCAGCACCACGAGGTTCCAAATGCCTGGAGCAGATGAGAACCAAATTCATTCCCTTATTGTTTTAAATTTAAAGTGGGCATAACTTGCTGATCATTTATATAAAGTATCATTTAGCAAAGCCGACTTCCACGAGTGTAGAAATGCTTGATTTTCTGAGCTCTGATTTTTTAACAAATGATTCATGCCACTTTGTGCATGAAAAATTCCCACATATTCAACCTCCTTTCAGAGCTGTGGCCCACTGAGCTGAGTGCCCCTTGCTAGCCCAATGCTTTAGAAAACATAAAGCTATGGTCTAGCACAGCACCTCCTAGACTTACCGAGGTCCACACTGTGGCTTCCACACATGC